TATTTTACTATGGCAGCTTTCACGACTTTTACATATGAACTTAAGAACGATCTTTTTGTGTATTCATTTTAACACATTGATGTACCCACGAATTTTTTTTGTCATGTTGATGTTCTCACTCAATGGAAAACTTCCAGTATGATTTTACATTGTTAATGTTTGATTCGCATAAGTATAGAAAACAAATAATTTGAATTAATACAATTTCTCCTACATAAAAAACTAGATCTAATTTTTCTTCACGCTTCACCGATCCTATTGAATGACTTACTAAAAGCTTTGCTAATTTACCGACTGTAATTTCGTATGTTAATAATTTGAATAAGTGTGCTCATAAAATGAAAATATTACTCGTATAATGCCACTCTCGAACGAATTGACGTACATTTTATTACCGAAGCTAATTCCCCATCCACTCACCGCACAAAGGGCGTTCGTTCGAAAGCTCTACGCTACCAATTATTGCGCACTCGACTCTTACATTTGCGCATGTTTCTGCTGACCAAGCTGGTTTATGTACTAAACTGACCACTGCTCATGAAGGATCATTAGTGCCGAGGTTGGATAGGTATTTGCGGAATAATTGATTAGGAATTCACGCTAAAAGCGTGCTAGTCTTTAAGAGCCATTTTACATTTTCGTGCGAATTTCTAAGATTTTGGAAGCATGAATTACTATCTTAAGCAACACCCAGAGATTATTTAATAACTGCGAAAGATAGGTCGATCCTTGTTGTTGACCATTAATGAAACGGATTTACTAAAACTCTTTTGCTTAATTCACAGTGCCCCANTCAATGCGGAGAAGAAAGATGATGCGGGGGTCGGCTGGTGACTCCAAACAACTCAAAAATACAGCTGCATAAAACGGAAACCACCAACCTGCGGATCAGGAGACGGAGACCAGGCTTCGAGGGTCGACCCGTCGATATTTCTTGCGGTTTTATTATTTCAATATATTCAGCGGACTTTTCACATTTGACTGACGTTCCAAGACAACGAGTTTCTTCTTCTTAATTTTCTATAGAGGTTTTTCGCGTGACACTCAACACTGGCCACTTGGCTCCTGCGAAGGTGCTGGCCCCAAATCCGATAAACAGATTAGTGGGAAACCATCTCATGCAGCTAGATAATTTTGAGAGTTGGAGCCACCGAAGAAAAGGAAGATAAGAAATTTGGACATAGGCCCAACCAAACAGTTTTAAACGTAGGTATAAATTGGCAGGGCTATTAAAATGTGATGTAGGTTGACAGATCAAATTTGCCATCCTCAATATTATCCATTTATGACTAAAACTATCGAGCTCACTGTATGTGTATGTCCCTACCCTACTGACATAGAAATGAATAATAATTGTAAAACAGTCCTTTGGTGTCTGAATTTACTTTTGGTTTGGTAATCTCGTCTATTATAACACAATAAAAACAATTACAATATTCAAATAGTCATTCACGATGTATTCGATTATGGTGGTACAGTTCTAGTAAACCAATACAGTTCATAGAAAGTCATTAGTGTCACCTAGAATGTACTTACGATCTAGGTAAGCCGAAGTGAAATTATTAGCTGGAAAATAATCATCAGGATTTCATGGTTAAAACGGTTACATTTGATTTATTAGTTACGAACTTTAGTGAACGAAAGGTTTAATGACTGGTAAAATTGAAACATTGCGAAGTGATTCAATGAATATGAATATTAATTCACCTTACGCTGAGTTGCACCAACTAACTTGAACCGTAACAATAACTATAACTGTTGTTATATGGCGTTTGACAGATTTTTGACGTTTAATATACACTCGACATCAAATAAATCGCACCTCCCGCGACAAGCATTTTCAAACGTATGCATCCCCACATCCCACCAATATTGGCACCATTTAAAAGCCTAGTTCTAACCTTCATTTCATTAAAGGAAAGGTTTTTACCCCAAAAATGTGTCTTTAGAAGGATCCAGAGTCACTTCTTCAAAAAATAGGTAGTTACGCTAGAGCCAACTTTTATGGCTATAAAACTGTTAAGTTGGGATTAATCGCTATCCATCTGTTAAAGAGGACACGTGAAATCATTATCATTGATTGATCCCATAGGTGGGCCCAAAGTGAGGTATTTTTTCAAGTCACATTTATGGTATATGTTAATCATTTATTAAGAAATTAAATATGTTTTTCTTTAAGGATATTTATTGAGCTTTCTAATAACACCAATATTGTTGGGGCACCATGATTGTGTCAGAAGAAAATCGTTAAAGTACGCGTCGCGGAAGGTGCGGTTTATTTGATGTTGAGTATAGTTAAAGTTAAATGGTGCAACTCAGCCTAACCATTTGATTAACCTTTTATTTAATCCATTGTGTTAGGAAACTTATCATCAGTCTAAATCTCAAGACATAAATGTTCAAGGTGACCTGAATTCATATCCTTGGCCCAGCAAAACTTTTCGAGTAGGTCGTAGAAAATGGACGGAGGCCAGTAATGTTACTTTGCCAGAAGTGTTTTTGATGCGGGGGTTACCTTGGATACTTAATTTATATTCATACCTACCTCATTACATTAACAGTTACTAGTTCTACATCAACTGAAACAATATTATAAAGTATGTTATCAGTTATTGGTTCAACCTAAACATAAAAATTGGATCAACCTAAAACAATATTTTAAAGTCATGCGACCACATGAAATAGACTGAGGCGAGTTAGGTTAATTAAGTAAAGACAACTTTGAATTAAAATCAAATACATTAAACCACCAGTAAAATACTTATATTGAGAAACTTTAGCTCCATTTCCAAAATAAATATTTATAATCAGAATTCGTCAAAGAAAATTCTATTATGACCTGAACAAACCGTTAAATAAAACAATAGTCTCCAAAGATTTCTTTCTAGCCCAATTTAGTTTAGGATATTTAAATAAATTACTGAAAAAGACAAAGAAAACCTCTGATATTAGAACAAAGGTCATATTTAGATTGCCTATTTAAATGAAGACATTTATAATTTTTTCCCTGAAAGTTGTTTTAAGTTATGCTTCTAGGATTTCCTTTGACAAAAACTTCAGTATCTTTTTCAAGTTCATTAAGCTTCCAACCCTACAGAACTTTCCTCCTTTTTTGCATTCAGCCGGCGCCTTAACGAGGATTTTCCGCTTTTTTCCTCGACAACAGGTATTTTCTGCTATTTTCCCAACGAAACAACGTTTATTGAGGCCGTGTTTTGAAAGGCTTCAAAAGATTGCTTATAGGGTAATAGATTTGGCGTATTGTGGGAGCAGTCGGATTAGCTTTCACGAAAAGGTATTGGGGAGTGCTTAATTTAGTAACCATTTCCTTATTACTTAGGAGATATACACATAAATGAAAGCCTTAGTTTTTGTTTGTCACGAAGTGTTCTAAATAGAACACAAAAAGATATTGGAAAGTTACAATGTTTCTCTTCCTACTTCCTACCTGCAGTCTTGAAAGAAAGCATAGCTTACTAGAAGTAAGTAAGCACCCACGTCCGTAACTTATCTTACAAAGTTCGTTTTAAGTTCTAAAGCTCTTGTTACCCAGTTTGAAACAAGTTCAAAAGTGTAAGACTATAAATAGCTTGCAGAGTATGCTACCCTAGAGAATACCCGCAAATACAAATATCTCCTACTCCTGTTTGCAAAAACAGCGTTTGCTAAGAGCTGCGATCGAATTACTTATTGGATGAAAGACAGGCTCATTTCGGCCGAAAAAACCGAAAGAAAGACCCTTACTTACGACGGAACGAAAACCTGGTCAAGTCAAGACGTTGGGTATACTGAGGGTTCTGTGTGCTTACCATGAGTTTACGTTACGTGTGCTCGCTAGCGACTGCGTAAAAAAATGACATTAATTGTATGACATATTGTGCAGCGCCCCTAGCGGCTACTTTCAAGAAACAAAATCTCCACAGAGATTTTTGACGTTTTCGCTAGCGAGCACACCTAACGTAAACTCATGGTAGGTACACTGTACTATAAAATATAAGTACTAAATAGTTTTACCTACTTCATGGCTAAAGTTCCAAGTCTACATACTTAGTTTGGTAAAGCAATAAGTGGTTCACTATTATTATACAAATAACATTTAGGTATTAGTCACGAAAAGCTCTTTCAAATGGAGATTGATTAGGTATGGGCCGAATGTCAAGCTTTTGAAGGTTAATGTAATTACCGAATAGAAAGGTTTAGGTGTAACAAACATACTTTATAATAATGCTTATTTTTTAAGTTCACTAATTGGCTTAATCATTTAACCAAGACCATTTAATCATTTAATTTAGACCAAGTCTTGGTAAGTCTGAGTGGTTCTACTAAATACAAATTTCAGAAACTTGACAACTACAAAAAAAGTTTAGTAGTAGCCGATATTTGAAATTAGGGAACCCCAAACTTGCACAAGAAATTCCCCTCCGTTGATAATGACGGGGTCCCGGACAAATTGGATTTGGACTAAACAAGTCGTTACAATTACCCGCCGACCGTAGTGTTTTAACGAGAAAAGGCATTTGCCGACGAACACACCCCTCGAACAAAAAACTCAATCCAGATTTTTGAAAGAAAGACATTTGTCTTTCATCGCTTCAATTTCTTTTTTCACCATTTCTAATCATTCTGCTATAGACTAGCAGTCTTAACTGTAATTTTTTGCTTTTTAAAATAAATTCGTTTGCGTTATTATTTTCGCAACGCTTTTGTGTTACATGAAGCGTTTTTCAGAAAAACCTAGGGACTGTTATTTCAAAAGCAAGAGTACGAAAACATTTTACAAATTTTATATGTTTTATTTATTTTAATGTTTGTGCTTTGTTCAAAAGGACTCTGAATCGTCTTTGAAAAAGGAAGATTTCATTAAATTCGCACGGACGGAGGAACCATGTCAACTAACAGAAACAAAGATCGACTCAAAATCCTTTTGAAACAACACTTTTATCCCCGCGCGAGAGCGCCCCGAGGAAATGATATTAATGATCATTTCTGTTTGTCGTCAGGTTCCGAAGTCCTTTGCGAGGGTCGCGCCGCGGGAGCCAATGTTCAGTGAGCGGGCGAGCCGCGCGCGCACGACCATGATCACGGGCTCACACGCAACGTAGACATTTCTGAGCACACGGTAATCAGACACACTCAAGATGGCGGAAGGCGAAGGACCCCAGACGGTATGGCAGAAGATTGACAACACCGTCATCCCCGTCGTCAACCTCGAGGTGCGGGAGGTCCGCGAGGTATTATGGGAGAAGATCCAGGAACCCGGCTCCCAGAGGAAAATCATCCTGGTCATAGTATCCATAGCGCTACTCCTGGACAACATGTTGTACATGGTGATCGTGCCCATCATCCCCGACTACCTCAGGTACATAGGCGCGTGGGGCGAGGCCGGCTACGACCACGTCGTCGAGCTGCCTCCCATCAGGGAGGGCAACAGGACCATCATCCCCACCAAAATCATCCCAGCCTCGCACGAGGGCCAAGAGTCGGCGACGGGGGTTCTCTTCGCTTCAAAAGCGATAGTGCAACTCATGATTAACCCTTTTTCTGGTGCCTTAATCGACCGCATCGGGTATGACATACCCATGATGATCGGACTTATTATAATGTTTCTTTCGACTTCTATATTTGCCTGCGGCCGGAGCTACGGCATGTTGTTCTTCGCGAGAAGTCTGCAAGGCGTCGGCTCCGCTTTCGCCGATACTTCTGGCCTGGCCATGATCGCTGACAGGTTTACGGAAGAGAATGAGAGATCTAAGGCTCTTGGTATCGCCCTCGCGTTCATTAGTTTCGGCTGTCTCGTTGCACCACCTTTTGGTGGGGCATTATATCAATTCGCAGGCAAAGAAGTTCCGTTCCTAATTCTCGCTTTGATATCTCTCTTGGACGGATTTATGTTACTGTTGGTCATGAAACCACTGAAGACACAGATGAAGGAGGCGAGAGAGCCGAAGCCTGCCGGAACACCTATATGGAAGCTCCTGATGGACCCATACATTGCAGTTTGTGCTGGAGCACTCATGATGTCCAATGTCGCATTGGCGTTCCTTGAACCAACAATCTCATTATGGATGGAAGACAACCTTACCAAAGATAATTGGAAAATTGGCATGATTTGGCTACCAGCCTTCTTCCCGCACGTTCTCGGCGTAATCATTACAGTAAAAATGGCCAGGAAGTACCCTCAACAGCAGTGGCTGATGGCTGCGGGCGGTCTGGCGTTGGAAGGGCTCTGCTGTTTTATAATACCATTCGCAAACTCTTACAAAATGTTGATGATACCTATATGCGGAATTTGTTTCGGGATCGCTCTGATCGACACCGCCTTGCTGCCGATGCTCGGGTACCTCGTGGACGTGCGGTACGTGTCAGTCTACGGCAGCATCTACGCCATCGCCGATATATCGTACTCCTTCGCTTACGCCGTGGGGCCCATCATCGCCGGCGAGGTGGTCGAAGCCATCGGTTTCACCGCCTTGAATCTGTTTATAGCCTTCAGCAATCTTCTCTACGCTCCCGTCTTGATGTACCTCAGGCACATTTACGACTTCAAGCCGTTCGAGAACGAAGCCAACATTTTGATGGCCGACCCGCCCGACAAGGAGTACCAGACGTACAGTTTGCAAGACCAGAGACCCGTGAATGGGGAATACAAGAATCATTTGGAGTACTCCAATGTGTCTGGTCAAGTGGCGGGGACAGAGGAGTCGAACGTGGACGCGGGCGGGCAGGGGTACAATTACGACCAGTCGTACCAGGGGGGTTATCAGAACTACGGGCAGGGGTACGAGCAGCAGCAGCAGCACCAGCAGGACTACCAGCAGCAGAGTCAGGGTTACAGCCAGCCGCGGCAGCTGCCGGCGCAGCCGCAGCCTCCGGCCAGCAACCCCTTCAGGGCGGCGGCGGCGCCCGCGCCCGCCCCGGCCGCCGCCCCGGCGCCCGCCCCCGGGCCTGCCATCAAGAACCCCTTCCGGCAAGGCTTCTAGAGCGCTCTAATTCAGTGTTGTTGTCTATATTTTTGAATTTACTTGTTGTGTAATTATAAATGTCTTATATTTGGGTACTACTTCGATCACTGAGCCGCATCCCATCGGCGGCGGGTTATTTAGTATCTGATTAGATGTCTATTAACTAGCTGTGCTTGTAATATATGATATTGTAGAATATTTCGATGGCCGCTTGCATGATGGCGTTTTGATACTAATTATGCCATAGTAAAGGCTTCAATGTACATTCGTACAAAATACTTTAAGATTATAGTTCCGGTGTAATCAATAAATGTATTGCTAGAGAGACGCCATCTTGTCAACCGCCACGCTGTTTTCCTTGTTGATATTGTATTGTTCGGATGTAACTAAATACAAACTGTTGATTATGCCTTCTCTTAGTGTATAGAAAACTTATCCGAAAATAATAAGAACCAAAGTAACGTAAAGACCAAAATGATTTATTGGACTTTAGAATTGATACTAATATTATAGTCAAAGCATTCACACTTTGTAAAATTAGATACGAAATGAGATCTAAGCACAGACATACCCAAAAAGAGTATAATATGCTAAGTCACACTTCACACTCAAATTATCATGTTGGTCAAATTTTACACAGTGTCAATACAACTAGACAGAGCGAATTATGCAAGTGTGCGTGATTGCTGAACCCGAGCCTGTAAGAAAAAGTAAAAATCAAACAATTAGAGGACAATTATGATAATTGGTGAATACTAAAACTACATGGATCAGTATTTTGAGTAGTTTGCGGTTCTCATTTTTTTTAATAGTTTCGGGTTCGACAACTTACGCACATTTTGAAATTTCACTCTGCACATTAACTTTAAGATAAAATATAATAAGGACACTAATATTAAAAATGCAATATATCAAAAGCACGATGTAAATGTTGTTAAAGCGCTATAAAAAGCACAAAGTCGTGTAAGGGCCTAAGATATTATATTTATTACGTGGTCTTTTGGCACTCACGGTTAACTTCTTTGTTATACACGAAACCATTTTAGAGCGCAAAAGTTTCAGCAAAATTTTCAAATATAATTGCGTTATATTATTTTGACATTTAGTAAAGGTCATAAACATATTTTTGTAAATAATCATGAAATTCGTATCAAGATTCTTATAAAATCTCTGTGTTAACACAATTGAGCAGCACAGTTTTGAATCTCGATTATCGTATCGTATTTTTAGATCATATATCGTAATTTATAGGATAAATCGATATACATATAAAGATTATCTTCCTATGCTATACCAGCAATATTAGTGTAAGGTTAATATGTCGCTTCTAATCAATTCTTATTCGACTTAATATCAATTAAAATATCAATTAATGGTAGGTCTAGGCTAAGCAACCAACTTGTGATAAAGTTGCAACCAAGGTAACGAAACATATCAGAATCTTTTGATTCACGTAGGCTAATGTTAGTTTGTATAGTATATTGTCTGTAGCTAAGTAATATATTTCTGTCGTGTTTAATATCGAGTACTTGTAATTAAACTGTAATTGTTTAGCCATCAGAGCAACGAGACGAAACCTTGCGACGGGATTAAGGCATTGAAACTGCAAGAAATTACTTTTTATCTTTAACAAAGTCGCGGAATTCAAAACATATCGCAATAATATTGTTATTTTTGTTCAATTTACAATGAGGAAAAAAGTGCTTAAAAAAGTTTAATAGAATGTCCAATAATTATTAATTCAAATAAATTCCAAATTGATCGATTAAATAAAAACAATATATTATGTAGATAATAGAGGCGTAGACGACATCACATCAGTCTACATTTTATTATTATAACAACACATATACAAATACCTAAGGTGCACAGTTTTTGTCTTGAAGTGCCCCACTTGAACAAAAACTAATTTATTATACTATGTAGTAGAATATGTGGAAATTTTAAAATCAGAATGATATTTTCGATATTTATGTATATTTTACAACAATATTTATATTACATAATATAAAAAAATATATATGTATAATCATTATAAAACATACTAGTCGCAGATCATAATCCCATCGCAAGGTCTCCAAATAGATTTGATTTGCAGATGACATTACAGCAGAGTCGAAATTTAAAAGTATCTAAAATAATTGTACAAGATAAAGTGACGAGCCCGATATGTCAATTGAAAGAATGTATAAAGTAAAAGTGATTATTGTGAATAATGTTCGTAAATGCTATTGTATAACGAGAGTGCTATGATACAATTCAGTTGCTACGCGGAAATAACATTTATGTATTCAAACATATGGGTTACGATTCGAGTATTCGTTTCAGTTGTCCATTCGGAAAGAACCTTGCCTGCAAAGTACAATAGTGTATAGTCAAATTCCTCTGCACAAATTTAGTTGTCTCGCACAAATTTTGGTACTCCAAACCATTTATTATAGAGAGGTTATTGATTCCTAAATAATATTAACGTCTGGATAAAATAAATCCTAATACTAAATCACAATTGTTATCAAGCGATCTCTCTTAAATATAAATGTAAGTTTAGCGTCAATTTTCGTGTCAAATTCTCCCGAAATTCAATTAATTAGTAGTTGGCACAAAAGAGTTTATATAAAACTTATATTTAAGTAGCAATTGCTTTGTATATCTTGACTTTGAAGTTTGTATTAAGTATAAATAAAATTATACTCTGTGTAATATTAACCATATTTTTTCTAAGTAGACGGTCAGACGAAATGCGATCATATACCTACACTGGCCTTTTCCATTTTTTAAAATGCAATCACTTTTTAAATAGATTTAAAGAAGTTTAAAAATAAAAAGGACTTGAAAAAGAGTATAATAATTTACTATAGTTTCAAAGAAGCTTATAAAATTTGCAGTAAAACTTTTTTTTAAATGTTTAACTTGTATAAGTTACAAAATAATTTGAAATTTTAAAAGTGAATTTTTTACTTTTGCAGGCCAGTGTAGAACATACGAGTATTTATTACACTTATATTTATCTCAACACAAAGTCAAAATATATGTACAGCATAGAATTCTGTTGTGAATTATATCTTATTCAATTTAATGTGCGTGCGTTTATATTTAAATTATATTATTATTGTATGATAATATAACTTATCAGCAATAACAAAACCGATATATATCACATACATATCATTAGTATTAAGGATATACAATTTTGGATTTATATAAGTATATTATATATTTATTATGTACGCCTTTTTGAAATAGATATTCAGAGAGTGAAAGTATTGATGATGTAATAGATTTCATAAGGTCAATATAGTTTATATGTAATTCTTTTGATTTACATACATTTTCTGATATTTTTTAGTAACGGACGGAATATTTCCATATACATCTTATATAGGGTCCTTCTAAATCAGCTACGTTCCGTTTAATGGGAGCATGTATACGTCACACTGAATACGTTCCCAAAGTTTGAGCCAAAAATTCAGGCTAGTTTCCGAGATAATTAAGGAAACAACTTCATTTCTTATCAACCCAATACAACACCCTGTTCAGCTGATTCACTACTACACTGACAAAAATCCGCACGCACACGAGCTTACGTAATGGCCGCCATTGCGCTTGTGCTGCCGTTGGGCCACTGGCCGCGAACACAAGAGTGCCGCCTGACGACGGACCGGGCGCCACACAAGCTATTCTAGGGCTACTANCCCAAATTGTAAGACGAAATGAATTTTTATTTTTGTTAGAAAATGTAACTTTGTAAAATCATTATAAAACACATACTCAAATTTGGTGAACTTGTTCAGTGTACCGTATAGATGCCCCCATTAAAAGGAATGTAGCTAGTTTAGAAGGACCCTGTATATTTAATTGACAACTGGGGCATTATCAGCCCTAAAAATCAAACTATAAAGACATAATTATCTATAATCAAAAAGTCATTACATATCGTAGATAAATGAATCTCGTTTATCTTTTAATGTTTACTTACAAGTTCATAATAAATATATTATTCTGAGTATGTGTGTATGAATGAGCGACTGGGTTTTTCTTGGGCATTGAGCATTAATGCCGATTGATGATCTCTATAAATTTTTTACATGTAGGTTATCTAAGATTATTTTCTAAGAAATCTAACTGCAAATAAAAATTGGGAATTCTTCTTAAGTTATAAACGACGATGTCAATCCCAGACAAGAACTTGCAAGGTAATAAAAACAATACTAAATTGTTTTAATCCATAAAATACCTCTTGCGTACTTATTTCTCTAAATGGCTATGCATGAAGAATCTGAAGAATTTGCAGTGCAGTTAGATTTCCCTTTTAGATCGATACCCGTCCGTTAGCTCTACGACTATCTATCTATCGTGTTTGGCTTTAGGAACGTCGTTATAAATCTTATAATCATTTTGAAAACAACTTATGTTTTATGTAATACGTTGTATATTTAACTAAACATATTAATTTGGATGAAGTAAATCCCAGTCATTTAAAATTTCTTTTAAATAGAGAGTACCTACAACCTTTTACGAGTATAGTAAATAAGTTATATCAATTTTAAAAATCCTAATTTCATTAATTATGTTATTTTTTTGTATGTAGTGATGTAGTCATAATATTTAAATACCTAGTTATTTTTATGTTTACATTTGTATTATGTTATATAATTTGTACAGTAATCATATCTATTCATATCAAAGCAGTTCGGTGTAATGTGCAATTTAATATAAGTTAGTAGAGGTATTTACTTATTAATTACTAGCTTTCCGCCCGCGGCTTCGCCCGCGTGGAATTTTGTCTGTCACAGAAAAACTTTATCGCGCGCGTCCCTGTTTCAAAAACCGGGATAAAAACTATCCTATGTTCTTTCCCGGGACTCAAACTATCTCTATGCCAAATTTCATCAAAATCGGTTGCGAGGTTTAAGCGGGAAAGCGTAACAGACAGACAGACAGACAGACAGACAGACAGACAGACAGACAGACAGACAGAGTTACTTTCGCATTTATAATATTATAGTTGGGATTGTAAATAATTATAATTATTGTAAATAATTACGACATCTTTTATTTTTATTTTTTTATAGAGTAAAAATGTAGGGTTAATAAATTTTACATTAAGTTGCTTATGATTTAAAAGCATTTTAAGTGGACAAAATGTGGCCATTTTTTTTCTTTTTACTTCAATAACAATGCTTTGTTTCGTTTAATTATACATCAATATTATAGTAATAACGATAAATTATATGATAATTTGAAGTGTAAATATAAAAACCAAACGCCCACAAAAATATGAGTGATAGATGGAGTCATTAAGCCGTAGTGTGTATAAAATTATATTGCAAACACTATTTCTTCATTATGTTCACTAGATTTTCGAAAACTTTAGTATTCTATTAGCATGTTTTCTCTAGTTTATTTCTATTTCATTTAGAATGAAACCCGTTTTGTTACCATCCAAAGTTATTATAGCTGTTCTTATGTAATTAGATGAGCATTATCAACTAGTTTTTTTTAGTAAGATAATATATAGCTAGCTTTGATTAGGGTTTTAGTAGATCTTCTATAGGAACAATGCTTTCTATTGTATATTATTCATAAATAAATACCTCATTCGATATAAAAATACGTAGGCACTAGTTTCTTTGTGATTAAATCAGCTTCGTATCTTGTATCGTAGGTAATTAACTTAAGACCAAGTCTTGACACCAGGTTTGAGAAAAAAAAAGTTACATATAGGTACTTCTATTTTAATTAATGATAAAAATATAACATTGGTGGAGAACAAGTGCAATTTGTTATTTTTAACGAAAAAAAAATCCAGAAACTGATAAAAATATTTTTGTCTGTACAAGTTTCTTGTACCTTCAATAGCCTAAATTGAATTTCTGAATTTGAATAATACGCTCTAAACGTTGCTTTACTCCACGACACTCACTCGAAATAAAAAACGGGCGAATGTAGGTATGCCGTGTTATATTTTCCAAACGGCAGCATTCAGTGGCATGCCCAATAAAAGAAATATAATCGACGGGAATTTGATTTATATCACATCCGTTGAGTTCCATATACATCAGATTACATCTAATAACGAATGACGAACTAAGTACCTATACAGGTGATAAAAATTATGAAATAAAACATAATCGATTTGAAATATCTAGTGTCTGGAATTCAATTGTTTAAAACCCAAACAAACCAAGAGTCAGAACTAAATTTATCTAACAAATGGTATAATACCGTTATCATAATAGGAATGTACAGATTATTCAAAATAACGGTTATATTCCACCAACGGTATATTTAAAATATTAAGGAAATTTAGATTTAAATATGCTTGGTGAAATTACATATAAATATTATGATATATTAGAATAATATAAGACTATATTATTATCAATATCACTATTATTACAATTCACTATACATATTCATATTGTAGGCATGTGTATCGTAGTTTAGGTAGTTTTACTAACATAAAGACTAGTTTGAACACTCGTTTAGTGTTATTTAATCCTGTTCTAGTATAAATCGGTTTCATTACGGATATTTATACAAAAATAGTATAAATATCAATATTATACTTAACAAGAGAAGTTTTTGCGGTGGTTAATAAATAAAAACGTATGTACGTACCGTCACCAGCTAATATCTTTCAGTATAATATTTTAAATTAATGCTCTTAGTAGTGGATTGATAATTATGCTGGCGACCGTTCATAATAGCACACCAAACGTAACATTTTTACCATAAGACCGCCCTTATTCCCCTGGAATAACAGCGATTTCGCTGTAAAAAAGTTACACTTGACGTGCCGTTGACTATTCATGCTTGAAATTAAAATTATTTTTAAAATGAGGCCGATTTTTACTTAGATGTTTGTAATATAAAAATTAATCACATTACGTAATTACGAATGTTGTTTCGATAATTTATTAGTTTATTGTTTCAGATATTATTTAATTTTAGTAAGTTATGGCTTCAGAATAGCTATGTAATATAATGGTTGAACGTTTAGGAAAAATTTAATGGACTTAATATCTTGGGATAATATATTTGAAATAACCTTTTCATTAATTTACTTAGTAAATATTCAAAAATCTCGTTACGGATTGCAGAGTCAATGTTTTTTTTATTACTATAAGTATAATAATGACATAATTTTATATAAATATAATTTTGAATTCATATTCATTCATAATGAATGACACAATAAATGATTGATTGATTAATGTAACAATTTAATAATAATGCCCAAGATATTGGCCCATCAGATAATTATCATGTATCTACTTAGTAAGTGGTAACGAAAATATCAGATTATAATCTTATAACCGAATATTCTATATAGTTGTACGTAAAGTGGTCAAAATTAATCAGTGATCGAATAAAATTGTTACACCAAAAATAATTTGTGTTTTTTTTTACTTATAACAACACACAAATACTATTTCCCTGATGTGGGTCTATATTGTGATAAGAAATTAACCTTCTTCAAAGAAATTTAATCAGAAGAACTTTTTATAATGCCCATAATAGGTACTTGCTGCGTTAATCTATGTAAACGCCATTGTCGCAATCACTTTTTTGTGTGCCCAGTAACTAAAGTTGAGTTAAAGCACCAAAAATAATATTTTACTGTCCTGAACCAACACTTCTAAAAACTTTTTTCTAGGTATGATTTATTTATAGTACCAGTAGTTTATTTGTATCGCGGTCGTCTGTCAGTATTAATTTGCTTTCCATATCTGAAATCAATTCATTTGTCTGGCTATGCAAATCCACCAATTACGGATTCTGCCAATTTTAGGAAACCACTCAGCATAACAAACCTTATATCTGTGTCACAAGATCGCTTTTAGCTCGATTCGACGTGAATTTCACAGATCCAAATTGGTTTTAAGCCTTCATTCATTTGAAATTGACCTTTGCTACGATAAAGTAGAGTATATTTTCTCACAATTCAAACTCAAACGCCAGTCAAACGTATTTTGAACTTTATCGAATGGACATATGATTGGGATTTCAATGTTTTAATTAGGGAAGGGTCAGATATAGACATACAGGGTGCGGTGAAGTTGTTTTCAATAGTAATTAGTTAAATTAGAGGGGCTAGGTGTTCTCCCGTGTTTTGATCAAAGGAGATTTTGTATGGTTCTTTTGATATTGCGTACTCTATCGTGTTACGTAGTATATCGTGTCTATGAATAAAGTGAGGACTGCACTCGTCGGCTTTGAAGTAATGAGTATTCTGTCAGTGAAATAGTTCTTTGTTTAGTATCATGTAGTAATTTTTTTGATAGATTAATGCCCGTTTTCACCATCGATCCCTAATTTTTAAGTGACCCCTAAGAAAACAAAATTCCTGTTATGTGTAACCATATGGGTATAAGTGTCCCAAAAATCGAACGTTTCATAGGCATACACTAACTAAAAATATTTTAGCTAATAAAAATAATAAATCGTCATATTGTTATTTACAAACAAGATTAATAAA